GCTTTGTTTCGTTGTTTTACTCATGCACTAAGTACATTGATGAGCAGAACTCAGAGCAACACCCCCAGATCGAGTTATTGGGTCACAGCGGTCGATAATGAAGTTGTGGATGCCGAATTGACTAAAAATGAAAAAAGAAGCAAAGAAAACCGTCGATGAAGCCCAAAACAAAATTCCCCTTGAAAAAGGAAAGGGGCGGGGCCGGACGAGTTGTACGAACTTGCCTGCTCCACGGCTCAACTAACCCGCGCGTATTTGAATTAGCCGCTACGCCGTAATCCACGTTGCGTGTCATGGGGTGTGCGCGACGTAACTCGTCCAAATGCTAAGATTAGTCGCCAAATGCTGACTTTGTAAGACCCTAGCGCCATTGTCGCGCACTTTCGAGCCGCGACAACGGCACATCTGTGATACTCGTGGGCTACTCTATTCCACCCACTGAATAGATTCTTCGACACGACTTCTGCTGGGAGTGTTCCTGTAAGGAAGAACGTAGTTTTCCGGGATGTGTTACTGTCGAGTAACAGAGCGCGATCAAACTTAACTACTCATAGAAAGAATTACATACCTGTACAGTGCGGAACCCAAATGACAGGAACTGCTCTAGCATCCACAGTCGCCTTAATTGCAAACCCCGGGATTGGCCCTAACTAGTAGGGAGGACACCCCAAGGAAAGTTGTATAGTCCTTACCTACCTAGACACTCCAGCAAAAATTGCGCGCGATCAGGGCGCTAATGCTTACGGGCCTGTAACCATCGGCCCAAGTTGTAACGCTGCAAACCACAGCAACTGATGGGAAGATCTACGTCCTTCTCGAGCGGCGTGCTCGCGTGTTTTGTCTTTTTGGTCTCCTGTACCACAACCGACCTTGCTGAAGGTAGAGGCCTTGACGTAGGCTTTTCCAAGATTTCCCTTGCTTTCCTTCACAGTTTTAGGTCGTTCCCCAGCTCAGTCATTACCGCGAAGCGCTCTTATTACCAGTTTTGTCCCGAGGCTTGGCTTTAAGCTTTGCTGACCAATGTAGCTTCTGTTGTGTGACTCGGTGTCCGTTGAACTTCGTTCATAGTGAAAAGAAATCAGAAGACGGAACTGCTATACGCGTCTAGGGCACGTTCCGTTGGGTTATTGTGAGCAGCATGCCGCACGAACCTTGGTGCAAATTAGGCCTCCGGCTCACCTTGAAAATTGTAAGGCTCGGCGGGGGCAAGACACCCATGCAATCCTATCAGAGTGAATATGCAAGATCGTAACAGTCCAAAAACAGTTTCCTCACGAGATCAATTCTGATAATGGAGACTTTCAGCAATGGCGATCTTATCGCAGTTTCCACGAGCCAACTTCAACGACTCAAATCGAATACGAGTTAAACGGTCGAACGACTACACCGGTCGAACGACTACACCCAGTTGAGCACAGCTCAGTCACACTAACGAGTTTCAGAGAATTTTTTAATCCGCTTTTTTCTTCTTACTGTCGCTCATCGGCCACGATCTTTACATGTCAGTTGCAATCGGTGTTCATTCCTTTCTCGCTTGTGTGTTTCCGCTTTCGGTCCACGGCACTCTGGCAATTTCATTTACAAAGGATTTCTCCACTTTATCTACGGGTTTATTATTGTCTTTCGCTGTGAAGAAAAGAGTTACTATGTGCAATTTATCGCTGCTACTCTGCTTTTTTGTTGTATACTTTCCTTTCGTGAACATATAAATATTGTGATTATTATGTCAGGATTACCTATGACAGGGTGAAAAATGGTCGAGAATTCGTCGACGATTCGTCGAGGATTTTCACTCGTTCAGTCGCGCTCTCCCGCGAGGTCGTTTACTCTTGACACTATTCTGGCACAGCACAGAGCGATGATCGAAATCTCCTCGGCCGTTATTCACCCTGCACATGAACTTGCCTCAGAAGTGAAGGGTGTAGTTTTAACGAGAACATGTTACCTTGAAAGAACTGGTCGTTATAATTTTCATGGGAACGAATGGGAAAGACACAGGGTGGATTGGAGAGAAGGCCTACCCACTGAGACGATAGGCGCGATAAGGCGCGGTAACGGGCTTTCGGAACTCCTCGCCGTCTACATCCCGGACATGGAAGCGGTTGCAGCGGCTGCGTGATCAACTGTAAGAGCCATCGCTATCACTCGACGTTTGTTTCCGTCGTGCCATCAATGGCGAGTGGCCTTGCCTTGACGAGCCTCAACTCGTGGGAATTATATCCATCTCAAGTCTCACTTCGACTGCTTCCGTGAATGGCATGTGGAGCTCTTCTCTGAGGTGCCAGCGGGATCGTTTCTTCTGAGCGTAAACCAATCTGAAGACTGGTAGAAGTATCGATGATTTGCCCAGCTCGGCTTACTGTTTCAAAGGTAGCAGCACGATGGCTGGGAGGCGGAGATTACATATTTGTAGACGTCATGGGTGAGAGTTTTGGTAGGCGTTTTGACCAACCCCTAGTGGGGCAAGATATCCCAGTCATGGCGATCACAGCCACGAAAACATCACGATTTCTTCCCCTGTTAGCTTGGAAGCCCTTCTCCAAGAGAAGAACGAAAAAGTAGTTTTGTTTTGGTAAATAATTCGAAGAATAATATGAATTGCATAATATTACGCGTTCGCCGCACATCTGTCACAAATGTTGGCTGAGGGAAAGCTCCCACTTTAATTTTGGGATACCGTCAAAGGAAAAAATTGGTCTCCTCACGTATGACAATAACATTTCGTT